ACCTCCCTTTATGGCTTTGTTCCGGGTCAAACCCTCCCCCCTCCCCAACACTTTGCACGCGGGTAACAAACGCCACCAACTCGCGAACAAATCTCACAACCAACTCCTGTAAAAAAAATCTCACACGACTATTTGGGCAAAAGAACATTGGAAGCCTCCAGCATCGGGCAGTAAATCCTTGAACGAAGGCCCTGGCGTCTTCAGTTCATTGTCCATCCACTGCTGGATGACGGCCATGTTGTTCCGATCGTGTCGTTGCACATTGGTACTCGAGGCACCGACTCGGTACTCGAGACAAACTTTCCACGTCTTAACGACGATGCTACTACAGTAATTTAGTTTATAAATTAACATTTTTAAATCATTGTCCGGTCATCGCTATTCACAGACACTTTAGCCTGCCACGACACATCGGGCCACTCGTTTGAAACACACGCTCTCGTTACAAGCACCGACACGTTAACCGTGCATTGAGATTTTAAAAAGAAATATATTTAAGTCGTTTAACAATTAAATTTGAGGGGGAGCGAATGGAACCCCCGCCTCGACGAGGCCTATCGCCCGCGTTCGCGGCAACAAATAGGCCCCCGCCGCGTCTCCGCAGCAGTCCCCAGCGCATCGCGACGAGACCGTTGCCGTGCCCCGAGCTTGCCGACACGACGAGAAGCCGAGTGGAGAGGGAAACTGCGGAGGATGGCGGCGGATGGCGAGGGATGGCGACGGCGACTTTCTCAACTCATCTTACCTGGGATGAGCAACGCGTACAAGACGACAAGATGGCGGCTGTGCGGGGGGGACGGAGTCGAGGGGGGGGGGCTTTATAAAAAGGATCTATTAGGACCCCGGATTGAGGTATCCAACGCTCACTGCCTGTCAGAAATGTTATTTACTTTACAGTTCTTTTGATTCCTGTGCTAAGAAAAAAATGACCATTGCTCGATTTGTTGCCCGTTACAATTTTTTTCTAAGGCCACAGTGTATTATTGAGAAATGTGTTTAGTTTTATTTCATTTTTGGTGTGTTGTTGTTGGCGGTGTAGGAAAGCGGGGATCGATTCAACTTGGCTCGCGATTTCTTGAGAGTCGATACAATTTCATAATTACGTTCGATTTCTGAAATCGATTCCCGTATCGGACGGACGATATAAGTTTAAAGTTTAATTTATTAGGTATAGCCCTGTGAGTCATGCGGCTCTTAAGTCGGGGGCAACCGAAACAAACAAAATTTGAACACAGAACATCTTAAGACAACATTGTTCCTGGTATCAATAAACATTTACAAATTTGATCAATAACAATAAGCCAATACCAATCAATACCTGATGCTGTATGTAATCACCAGCGAAACGTCGAACTACTCAAATTGTAAACGTTGTGGATTTACTCTCCAACACACCGGTGGGCTGAAGTAGTAACTACACTATACACTACACTATACACTACACTATACACTACACGACACTATACACTATATTACTATATACTACACTATACACTACACTATACACTACAATACACTACACTATACACTACATTACTATACATTACACTATACACTACACCATACTCACCACTGTGATCTCTACATTGGGTCAAACTTAACATCTCTTAATGTTCGACGGCTTGTGCACCAGATCTTATTTATTCACGATGTACTTACAAAAAAAATCCGCAGACTACCTACTGGATCTCCTCTCTGTTTCAAAGAACAAATTTGACCTCAGGTCTTCGCTCATTTACCAGCTTCACATTCCCTATTGCCGTACAAAAACTGGAGGAAGGGCCTTTGCTATTGATGCCCCCAGGGTCTGGAATGATATTGCCAATAAACTGCAACTTGAATCACTACCTATGAGATCTTCACTCAAAACTGCTCTAGAGGAGTTGTACAGCCCTAGCTGCCACTGCTATTCAGTGGCCTAAATAAAATATGGCTTTAGATTTTGGTGTTATAATTTATTTATGTAGTTTATTGTTAAAAATTCGGTCACAGTCCCTACGATCACTGTTACATTGCATTTATGGCTTTTATTTTGGTGATTTCGAAAACGTTTTTTTTTGTTTTGGCCATGTTTTTGTTTATTGTAGTACGGAGTTAGACTGATGGCCTTAATCTTAGTTGTCTTGTGGTTGTTGTTTTTGTTATTTGACTTGCATCCCAATGGGATTTTTGCACACAGCGTTGGTGTACTGTGCTATTTCAGGAATATTTTGATGTTTTTTTCCTGGATTTTCTGTTTGCACAGTCACATAGTCACTTTAAGATGTTTTCTTGTTCATGTTTTTGTTTGTTGCGGTTGCACCCGATTCAACAAGCCGAATGGCTCACAGGGCTATACCAAATAAATGAACTATGGAACTATACACTAAACTACACACTACACTATACTAGTAACTAATTGGCGTTTTGTTTACGTGACAACTCCCTTAGTATTTGGCTATGTTGGGTGGTGGAGGGTTACGACACATTTATACTGATGCCATCTAAACCCGGAAAAAAACTCCTTTATTATGAATAATATTGGTCTCTAAAGCCTACTACGTATCAAACAGAACGTTGCCAATTCGTTACCAGTACAACACTACATCGGTTGCGTGTTGGAGAGCCAAGCCACAACATTTACAATCTGCACCCTTTGGTTATGTCGGTAAAGTCACGTAAGTAGAAAAATAAAATAAAAAAATAATCACGTTTCGATCGCAACGCAGGCGATCGTCCTCAGGGGGAAAAGAATAATCCAGCAGTAACAGTGGTGAACCAAGAAGGACAATCTGAGTACGACGTTTCGGCAGTAATTGCAGCCAAATATGCCTGTCCGCCGCATGATAATGCTCGTTGTAAATAATTGGCTGTGTCGGGTGGTGGCGGGTTTAACGACACATTGATATTTACCGCGATCTAACCCAAAAAAAACCTATATTATGGATGATATTAGTCGCATAAAGCCTACTACGTGTCAAACCCAGCCATTCGCCACTAAATGACGGTGACCTCAACCACGGCGCCCGTGCCAGGCAAGGTGCACCTTGAGGCTACCACGTGAGGTGTCGAAGGCTCGCCGCTGCCAACTTGCTGGATTTTAGCCACCCGGCGTTCCGCTCGTTGTTGTGAGCGTCGCTCCTCCGCCCTCCGTTGTTGCCGAAAAGCGACTTGCCTCCAACTGCCCAGTAGCCTCACTGTGCACCTAGCCTGGCACCCCCCAGTAACGTCCTTCACGAGCCTCCTCCACAGAGGCCGATCTTGACACCACTGGTACCGGTCGTCAGCAAGTCCACTCAGCTCCAGATCATCCAGTACCACATCACTCCATCTCTTCTCCAGCCCGTGGGGCATGCGGTAGCTGGGCATGCGGGCTACGTGACTCAGTCCATCTCTCCTCCAGCCAATGTCGTGCCCCAAATTTGACCACACACACACACATACAACTTTCTTACACAAATATGAGCACCCATTAAAGTTATGTTAACAAAGATCCCCCCGTGTAGCCTTAACCAGACTGTTGGGGGGCAAGTGCTGTGAGCGGGGTAGCGACCTATGAAGGTCGGAACGGTACACGTGGGGGTGGGTGGCCAGCACCACGCCTGGCGGCCTTTGTCTTCCCAGTGGCGATGTTACGATACGCCGCACCAGCTACTCATTTGAGGCCGAGTCGACCTAGAGGAGGAGACCCAGGACCGGTTCAGATGAATCGTCACTGACGTTGGTGGCCGTGAGCGGGAATCAAACTCGGTTCACCGGGTTCGAGGCGCAGCGCGATGACCGGTACGCCACCGCTCCCCAGGGTTATACAAATCTGGGCACACACTAAACTACCGGATTAAAACTTAGCTTTTTGTTTTTATTTTACCAGGTAAGGCCCCACTGAGCTATGCAGATGTTTTTTTTTAAGAATCGTCCTGGCTAAATCACAAATTATAGATCAACGAAGTGGCTTATCATGTGGAAATGTACAGCAGACTTGCATTGTCCGTAGACTTACACAGTGGTGGGTAATATCATGGGACATAGCTAAATATGAGAAAGACCCCGACTCCTGAGGTGTTTGAGAAAGGACGTGGCGCATCGAGAGAGATACACGAATATTGTCCATAGATTGGTACTGCCCATAGGCTAGCATTGCCCATAGACTAGATTGTTTAGGTTATTTGGCTGATATAAATTTCCACGCGATAAGCCACTTCGTTGAGCTATCATTTGTGGCCAGGTCGCTTCTTAAAAATAATCTAATATCACAGTGGGATTTACCTGGTGAAATATATATTTTTAAGTTGTATATTTATATATGTTTTTGATTCTGTCGAGGACTGCCCATGGACTAACAATGTCCATAGACTAACACTTCCCATTTGTATTCGAAACGTCGTGAGAATTGTATTGTTTTATATTTTTATTATTTTATTGTTTCCCTTCTACGTGACTTTACCGAAAGAACCGAGAATATGAATCCCTGCAGTCACGAAAGCTTTAAATCAAAATTTACTGCCAATTTGACTAAGACTGCCTATAGACCCAATACTACCCATAGACTCAACACTGCCCATAGACTCAACACTGCCCATAGACTCAACACTGCCCATAGACTCAACACTGCCCATAGACTCAACACTGCCCATAGACTCAACACTGCCCGTAGACTCAACACTGCCCATAGACTCAACACTGCCCATAGACTCAACACTAACCACAGACTCAACACTACCCACAGACTCAACACTACCCACAGACTCAACACTGCCCATAGACTCAACACTGCCCATAGACTCAACACTGCCCATAGACTCAACACTGCCCATAGACTCAACACTACCCATAGACTCAACACTACCCATAGACTCAACACTGCCCATAGACTCAACACTGCCCATAGACTCAACACTACCCATAGACTCAACACTACCCATAGACTCAACACTACCCATAGACTCAACACTGCCCATAGACTAACGTTCCGGCGTCCGTATCTAGCTGACGTCATCGCGTAGCAACCAATAGTATTCGCCGTTACATCGGCACTCGGTGGACGACGGGCCAATCGTAGGCGTCGTCTTATCGCGGCCCCACCCGCTCCATGATCGTCGAGTCGTGATTGCCCGCCACGCTTAATCATCGTGATAGAATTTGACTTTGCTTTAGTCGCTATCGCTTGTCTCTAACACCAACCAACACGTGTTGACGCGTGGCGCTCATTGAAGCCGGCGATTCACACGCACGGGACCGAGCGTGTTGTGTCCAGCGGGGCCGTTAAAATCGGTACCAATTTGTGATAAGTATTATTTGTTTTTTTTTCCAGCTACGTGACTTTACCGAAAGACGCAACGAGTATGAATTTCAGCTTTTAAGTGAAGGTTTAATTCTAAGCAGGTTGGAGCACTGGTCGGTGCTCGGAATGAGCGACCTTCGGTGCATGGCAGATTATCTTTATTAATAATGCTTATTGTGCTCGCATCTTTGTGTATAGATGTGTGTGTGTGTGGTGCTGGCCACCCACCTCACCCCCCTCGTGTGTCATTACGGCCTTCATAGGTGCTGCTGCTGCTCGCTAACAGCACTTGCCCCCAACAGTGTTGAGGCTATACGGGGGATCTTTGTGTATAGATGTGTGTGTGTGGTGCTGGCCACCCACCCACCCCCATCGTGTGTCATTCCGGCCTTCATAGGTGCTGCTGCTGCTCGCTAACAGAACTTGCCACAGCAGTCTTGTTACGTGAGGGATCTTTGTCTTTTTGTGTCTCGCACACCTGGTGTGTACCTGACGTTTTTACCACGTGTGGGTGTGTAAACATCGCCATTGGGGAGACAAAGGCGGCCGGGCGTGGTGTTGGCCACCCACACCCTCTTGTGCCACAGTGCCGGTAGCCTTCATAGGTGTTGCTACTCCTTAACAGCACTTGCCCCAACAGTCTGTGAAGGCTATATACGGGTCATCTTGTGAATGTCAGAGCGAATGTGTGAGCGTGTATGTGCGAGTGAGTGCAGTGTGTATGTTCTCCCCATCTTCTGCATGGGTTTCCTCCGTTGATGGCCATAAATCACTACCCGGTGCCTAGCAGGTAATGCGTCCTGTGCTTAAAGTTTTGTTCTATTCCTGAATGACGCGGTCTGTTAACTCGTGGTGTTTTCATTTCGCAGGCCCGCGAGTCGTGGGAGATCAGGAATCATGGATTTCCATGCCATCCTGGAGCCTGGTGACATACCAAAGCCGGGACTTTGGTAAGGAGGAATTCATAGCCACCACGTGTTGTGTACGTTGAACTTCTTTCGCACAGTAAAACCCATTGCCCGTTGACCCAACTTTGGCGCGCGCATGAATTTTATTTTTGCGATCCCGGCAACTCAATGGGGCGAATAAATGTTTGTTTTCAATAAATTAGGGGAGGCGATTAAATTATAATCAAATGATAACGTGAATTAACGGTTTTACTTGTATTGATAATAATGTATTTTTGTTTCCAGACTATTGTTTTGATCCCCCGGACAAATGAAATATCCTGATTCATAATTGATTTTTGAGATGTTAGCCCACCGTAACGATCTGACCAAAATTTGTGTCGTTAAGAACCTGCACTAGCGGACACGGCCAACCTAATTAAAGTGTCACCCGTAAAAGCGTTTAGCGGCTGTTATCGCTTGAGTTTACCCGGTGCGTTCAATCAGAATGTGTATTTATACTGGAGCAGGAATCCGATGAGTTATATAGGTCTTTTTTTCACAGATGTGCAGTAGGTGCACGGGGTCAGAAAGTTACAACAACAATCACAATTACAAAAAACACGATAGGAGTGGCAAAGTATAGAAAAGGTGAGAAAATCACCAAAAAAATTAAGAATGACACTCAACAATTTGTATTTTTATTTTACCAGGTAACGTGCACTGAGCTTATTAGCTCCTTTTTCAGAAGCGACCTGGTCCCAAATGATAGCTCAACGAAGTGGCTTATCGTGTGGAAATGTATCGCAGTCAAAATAATCTAAGTATTCTTAACACGTGTTTATACATGTGGAGGGATAGCAACTAAACACGTGTTTATACATGTGGAGGCATAGCAACTGGAGGACCCGGAGAAAGACTTCCACGCGGCCACGGGGAGAAGGTGCAAAATCCAAATATACAGCCGCCAGGGTCGGGATCGAAGCCCCGACCTTCTGCATACCAGGCGAGGAACATGTACGTGTGTATGTAGAACGTCTTTGGCACCTTACGTAGCCAACTGTGCTAATCGGAGGTGCGGGGGAAGGACAACAAACTAAACACAAAAAGCAGTTCTCAAGAAATTAGTTCTCAATCCAAATTATTTATAAGTGCATAGCTCCAGTGGCTTCCTAATATCGGAAGGAAGAGCGTTCCAGACGGCCGCAGAAGCGCATCTGAAAGCGCGCGACGCGGTAACCAGGTTTGGATGGAGTTGGGGGGGCGGCCGGCCGGGGCTGTACATATACGCATGTATGTGTGTGTTTCGTACGTGCACGTATAAGCGTGTATATATGTAGCGTGTACGTGTGTGTGTGCCCCCCTTCCCCTCCCCATCTGGCCTTGGGGCAGGTACGTGTTAGCCCCACGCGGCCAACCGCCCCCCGTCACCGTGGGCCACACCTGCACGCACCTGGTGGGCTCACGGGGCGGCGCGATGGGACGGGTGCTGATCGTCGGCGGAGCCAATCCCGAGGCCAGCTTCAAGCACACGGTGGTTCTGGACCTGGGTGCGCTCACGCGCGTATTTGTGCGCGTGTGTGGTGTTGTGGTGGGGGGAGCCGTAGTGTAGCGGTTAGCGCGCAGCGCTGCGAGCCCGGTGACCCGGGTTCGATTCCCGCTCACGGCCAACATCCGTGACCAATATCTGAACCGATCCTGGGCCTCCCCAGGTGAACTTAGCCCGCAAATGAGCACCTGGTGATGTGTTTAAACATTGTCACTAGGGAGATGAAGGCACCCGGGCGTGGTGCTGGCCACCCACCCTCTCGTGTGCCGTGCCGGCCTTCATAGGTCCTCGCTAACAGCACTTGCCCCAACGGCTTGCTACAGGCTATACAGAGGATCTTTGTCTTTGTGTGCGTGTCTCTCTCTGCGCGCGTGTAGATACCTACGAGTGGCATACCCCCGACTGGCGCGGCCTGCAGCCGCGCTACGAGCACGCCGCCTTCGTCTCCCCCTCCGCCCCCCTCGCTGAAAGTAGTCCCGCCGATGAAAATAGTTCCACCCCGGAAGGAGGTGGCGGGCGTGCAAGTGGCGCCGAGGCAGCTTTGGATGGAAACCCTCCCGGCTCCACAAAGAGCCCTCCTCCTCCATCGCTCGGGAGCAGCAGCAGCTCCGCCGGGCTGTGGGTCTTTGGCGGAGCCGATCGTACGGGCAACAGGAATTGCGTTCAGCGGTTGGATTTGGGTGAGTCGCCCCTTCACGTAACGTGGTAGCCTGGCATAGTGGGAGGGTCTTAACGGCGCAAATTTGGTCAGATAATTACGTGGTCGAACCCAAAAATAAATGACTTATAACTCTTAATCTAAAACGTATGTATGTTCAATATCCATACGTGGGCAAGGATGAAAGTTACAAATCACATTTGCAAATGCAGTTGTATCCAGCACTCATATTCTGCTTCAGGATATTATTTGAAGGCAGAGTTACGATGTTAAGGGAGGAAACAGGGCTGTTCCAAAATGTTGGTACGTGTGTATGTCGAACTTCTTTTGCACCACCGTACGTAGACAGCCCTGCTAATCGGAGGTGCGGGGGAAGGACAACAAACTAAACACAACAAGTAGTTCTACAGCAATGAGTTTGTCAATCTTGAAAACCATTTAAAAGGGCATAGCTCCAGTGGCTTCCTAATATCAGAAGGAAGAGCGTTCCAGACGGCCACAGCAGCGCGTCTGCAAGCGCGCGACGCGGTAACCAGGTTTGGATGGGGGGCGGCCGGGGCTGGGTTGCGGGGGGCGTCTCTGTGTTTGTCAGAGCAACGCAGGTGGGAGAGCCCCCCAGTGGAGGGCACCCCCCCCTGCCCCCGCACGTACCACAGCGGTGCGGCGGCGGTGGGGGGCACGCTGTACGTCGTGGGGGGCGGAGCGCACGGGGCGAGTGCCGTCAGGGACGCCCGCCTCTACGCCTTCGACTCTGGTGAGTGTACCCCCCTCCACACGAGGTCGACTCAGCCTGAAACGAGTGCCACTTGAGTCTGTGTATGGATAGGCACGGCCGGGCGTGGTGCTGGCCACCCACCCCCTCGTGTGCCGTGCCGGCCTTCATAGGTGCTGCCACTCGCTAACAGCACTTGCCCCAACAGTCTGTTAAGCCTATACGGGGTGGGGGGGGGGGGGGGGTGTATCTTTGTCTTTCTCTTGTTGCTGCAATGGAGCGGTTGTGAAGACAGTGGAACAATTCCCATATTCGTGGCAGTGAGCTCACGACGAGTTTCGGTTCGGCAGCGGAGGTCGCACTTCGAATCTGTCAAGGGGAATTATCTTCTCTTTGGCTGCGTAAGTAACGGCTGTGTGGAAAGTGGTGCTTAGCCTGTCGCTGCAATTGAAGACTGGGCTCTTCTCTGCCACTACACAGTCTCGCCATCTCTTCTCTACGCTTGTGAAACGTGGACTCCGACTGGAATACCTGCACCGGCTTGAAACATTCAGGCTGGCCCTGCTTACGATCAATCCTGGTTTGAACCAGACTCGATTACAGTGTGAGGCGCTTACAGATCCTTGAAAGATCTGGACATGGTCCCATCATCAGAGGGCTTCAACGGCGGGCGAGGCTGCGTTGGCCAGCCACCGCATGTCCAAGCAGCTTCTTTCTGTTTGGCCAGATGGAGGGGGATAAATGGGTGCAGCACGGACTGGAGAACAGATGGGTTGATGATTGAGTGAGTGAGCGGCATGGGCTGGAGAAAAGGTGGACTGATGAGTAAGTGTGTGGGTGAGTGAGTGAGTGGAAGAGCGGGTGGATGAGTGGGTGGGTGAGTGAGCGGCAACGAGCTGGAGACGAGATGGCTGCTGACGCGGTACAGGGAGTATGTGGAGCTGAGTGGACTTGCCAATGACCAGTACCAGCGGTGTCGAGCTCGTCCTCTGGAGAACCACCACTACGGTGCGTGTGCCGTGCCCGCCGCGGTAGCGACGCTTGCCGCCGTCCTGTGCCACGCAGTGAGCCAGCGCTGGTCGTGCCCCGAGACCAGCGGCGTGGCCCCGTCGCCGCGGCACGGCCACGCGGTGGCGTGCGTCGGCGCTCGGCTCTACGTCCACGCGGGCATGGACGGCGCCGACTTCCTCTCCGACCTCCACGTGCTGGACACCGGTGAGCGTGCCGGACACCGGCGAGCGTGCCGGACATGGGAGCCGAGTGGCGGCTACTAACGCCGCTCTACGAGGGCCTTTCCCTGGGTCTCTCTTGAGACTCATCCGTTAAACGCTTTGCACCTCCGATGAGCACGGTTGGCTACGTGATGTTCAACGTAATACATACTCGGGGCACCGTGGCGGCGGGATGTTTACTACTTCGCCCGGTGTGCAGGAGGTCGTTGGTTCGATCCCGACCCTGACACCTGCTGTATATTTTGAGTTTGCGTGTCTCTCTCTCCCTGTGGCCGCGTGGATTTTTCTCCGGGTCCTCCGGTTTTTCCCTCCACATACAGAGCATTTGGCTGCCGCCATAAGCCACTTCGCTGAGCTATCATTTGCGATAGCCAGGTCAGGTCGCTTCTGAAAAAGAGCCATGAAGCTCAGTTCAGCCTTACCTGGTAAAATTAAACAAATTTCGTTTCGTTTTAACACTACACCCGAATAAATCCTCCGGGGGGGGGGGGGGGGTGGGGGTGGGCGCGTTGCGTTGAAGTTTAACTTTGCAAACATCGAGGTTGAATGTCTCCCCAGGAGGGAGTGTATTTGTCTGGACTCGCAGCGCGTTTTTTTTTTTTGCCACGCATTGCACACAGTTGCTCTTAAGGCCGACAGCGGTCGGCCTTAAGAGGTCGCTTTGGCCGTCGCCTGTCCATGCCGTGTGCCGGTGTGCGCGCTAGGGGGCGTCCGGTGCTTTGCGAGCGGGCCTCATTCCCGATTCGTGGCCAAATATTCACCTGCCGTCATCGTCGACCGGCGGCGATCGTCGTCCGCTTGTCTGTCACCCGCCCCCCCCCTCCCCCCCGAGCAACAATTGCGGTTAACTTTGCAGCATTGGGATGTTCGGTAAACACACACAGTTGTATACACAACAACAACAACGACAACAGGTGGCACAACCCGGATACACGACGGAGATACGTTGCTTCTGTTTGGAATGCTCTTCCGATATTAGGAAGCTGTTGGAGCTAATGCACTTTTACATCTCGATTCAAATCTCATTTCTTTTGAAAACTGCTATTTCTGTTTCGTTTGCTGTCCTTCCCCCGCGCCTCCGATTAGCACGGTTGGGGTACGTACGGTACAACAACAACAACAGGCGGCACAACCGGAGTGCACGATGGAGAGACTTACAGCGGCACAACCTCGTAAACCCACGCAGCCGTGCACAGCAACAACAACAACAACAACAAGGGGCGGCACGACCACGTGATGACGCGCGCTTTGTCGTCTCTGCCGGCCCACAGCAGCCCTGCGCTGGGAGAAGGGGCGCTGCCGTGGGGACGTCCCGTCGGCACGTGCAGCGCACGCTGCCCTGGCCCACGGCAGGTTTCTCTACACATTCGGGGGCCTGGGCCCCGCGGGGGCCCTGAGCTGCGCCTACAAGTTTCACGTTGGTGAGCGACGCGCGCTCGCTGGCACGCACGCTGGCACGCACCACTCGCACACGCGCTGGCAAGTGCGCTGACATGCGTGCTGGTACGCACGCTGGCACGCAGGCACACTAGCACGCGTGCCTGCGTTTTCGTGCGTGACACACGGGTACATGGGCATGTGGGAAGGACCCGTGCACACGCGTGTACGTACCTTTTGTGTGTAAGGGCGCGGCGGTGGCGAGATGTTAACTACCTCGCCTGGTGTACAGGAGGTCGTGGGTTCGATTCAGACCCTGATGCCTGCTGTGCATTTGGTGTTTTCGTGTGTCTCTCTCTCCCCGTGGTCGCGTGGATTTTTCCCCGTGTCCTCCGGTATTTCCCTCCACATTCAGAATCAATATCACGCGTTTAACGTATTTGGCTGCTGCTATAAATTTCCACGCGATAAGCCACTTCGTTGTGCTATCATTTGTGGCCAGGTCGCTTTGACCTTCATGTGTGAATTGATGGACGCTCGTGATGAACAGTTGCTGCGATTGACGCTTGTGATGAACAGTTGTTGTGATGGGCGCTTGTGATGGACGCTTGCGATGGACGGTTTTATGTACGTTGTTGGCAGACAAGCAGCGGTGGACGCTGGTGAAGCTGAACTGTCCACCCCCGGCCCCACGACTTGACCATGCCATGTGTGTCATCCCCTGGGTCACCCGTCTCAGACCGGTACGACAACAACACACGCGCTGCACAGCTGTCTCGTGCGCAGGCAAGGCCGAGTGTACGCTCGCGGCTCAGCGATGACCCCAGGTCAATTGCACGATTTCGCTACTCAGCACCAGCCTTCGTGGGCTCTCGCTATACTCCACGCACTCTCCTCGGGCTGCGAGGTGGATAGGAGATGGCAGTAGAACACGTGTGTTTGTGAACCCATACTTGTGGATCTATCGAGAGTTAACCCTTTATACGCACTTTCAAGAGCACGCCTTACAAATTAAATGTTGCCAAACATCTCAGTGGTGCAGGACCCTCTTGAAAAAGAGTATTTGGACTCGGTGATGGTGAGATCTCCCTCGCCAGGTATGCAGGAGGTCATGGATTCGATCCTGAACGTGACGCCTGCATATTCTTCCCGTGGTTCCGTTAATTTTTTTTCCGGGTGCTCTGGATTTTTCCTTCCCAATTTAAAATAAACGTGCATTTCGATTATTTGGCCGCTATAAATTTCCACGTGATAAGCCACTTTGTAGAGCTATAATTTGTGGCCAGGTCGTTTCTGAAAAACAGCTACACAGCTGCTTAAGTAAAAAAAATAGTTTTCGTTAGTTTAATACAGGTAGTCCTCTACTTACGATGGAGATGTGTTACGACGACCCCATCGTAAGTCAAAAATATCGTAAGTCGAAGATGGCCTAGCCTACCCACGAGTATTAAAGAATGGCGATAATTTAGCCAAACAGAGCAATTTACAGTACCGTTCTGTATAAACTATATACTGTATGTATTTATTAATTGCAATACTGTATTGCACAGTAAAATGTAAAGTAAAATAAAAACAAGGTAAATTCTTAGCCAACCTATGTGAACTGCAATTTAATATAAAGTTTTTTTCAGGAAACAATCCTGTCTGCTATAAAACAACTTTTAACATGCATTGAACGTACCGTTTCTTGGTAACCCTAAAATGAAATCGCTAAAGCTACGTATCATACGTACAATTTTGTCGTATCGCTATCGCCATCGTAAGATCGAAATATCGTAAGTTGGACTATCGTAACTCGGGGACTACCTGTAGTTTTAGTTAGTTTAATACTTGCGTTGATTTTCAAAAGCTGACAGCCGTCCATTTCACGAACACGTCCGTCCGCCCAATCCGTAGGACTCGCCAGAACTACCACAGGACGCAGCTGCCGCTGTTGCCGGAGCCTCGTCACCTCCTCATCCTCCTCAACCTCCTCCTCGTGACGCTGCTGGTCAGTCCGAGTCGGCCTCACGACGCTCCGGCGAGACGGAGCGCTCCGCTTCCCCGACGCGCGGAAGCCCCCGCGAGCGACCGACCGCTCCCATCGGAGCGACCGGCGTCGCGACGCCGCACCGCCCGGACGTCGTCGCCGCCGCCGGCGCTGGTCGGGGCCCGGCATCGGTGATCGGAGAGCCCGCCGGTGGCACCGTGTCCCTCTGCCTGGTGTTCGGAGGCATGGATGGAGAGGGGGAGATATTCAACGACTGCATGGCCATGTTACTGGAGTAGCGGAAGGCGACGCTCGTTGGAAAACTAAACTAAAGCCGCTCAACTGCTTTTTTTATTACTCTTTGGTTCTATTCGGTAAAGCCACGTAGGTAAAAATAAAATAACAAAAATCACGGCGTTTCGGCCACAACACAAGTGGCCTTCATCAGGTGAAGGGACTGGACTGTCCAGAGGACAGTGACTTTTGTTATTTTATTTTTACCTACGTGACTTTACCGAATAGAACCAAAGAGTATGGATCCTTGCAGTCACGAAAGCTTCAAATCTAGAATTGCTTTTTTATTCTTTTACCAGGTAAGACCTCTGGCCATCGCAGATGACAGCTCAATGAAGTTGCTTATCGTCATCGTGTGGAAATTTACAGCGGCAGCCAAATACTTGAAACGCGTGACGCTGTTGATTCTAAATGCGGAGGAAGAACCGGAGGACCCGGACACAAGTCCACTCAACCAGTGGGGAGAGAGAGAGACACCGCAAGCTCCAAATATACAGCAGCAGCAGGCGTCGTCAGGGTTGAGATCGAACCCACGACCTCCTGTATACCAGGCGAGGTAGTTAACATCTCCTAGCCACCGTGATGATGAAGAGAGAGACAAGCAAACTCCAAATGTACAGCAGCAGGCATCGTCAGGGTCAGGATCGAACCCACGACCTCCTGTACACCAGGCGAGGTAGTTAACATCTCCTAGCCACCGTGATGATGATGAAGAGAGAGACACCGCAAACTCCAAATATACAGCAGCAGGCATCGTCAGGGTTGAGATCGAACCCACGACCTCCTGTACACCAGGCGAGGTAGTTAACATCTCACCACTCCCAGTCAGGAGGGTGCCTGCTGTGGTTTTTCTCAGCCGGGGCGGCCGTTTGCTGCTGCTGCTTTGCACTACTGACGTGTTTGTGTTGTATTGTGTTTGTTGTTTTAACACTTTGACCGCGTGCCCCTACTGGACATTTGTTAAAAAAAGAGCTTCATGGCTCATCGGATTCCTCCGGTATGAATAAATATTTTGAATTCCGATTCAGTGATTAGCAGGTGACCTTTCAAAGTTGGATGCTTAGGTCGACACCAGTTGCATTGCATGGAGTTTATTGTTGTTGTTGTAGTCGCTATTGGGAGGAAACCGGAGAACTGGGAGGAAGTCCATGCAGAACAGGGGGAGAACGTACAAACTCCACTCCACTAACTCACTCTGCAGAACAAGAGGGGGAACATACACACTCCACTCACTCACTCTCACTCACTCTCCAGAACAGGGGGAGAACGTACACACTCCACTCACTCACTCACTGCAGAACACGAGGGAGAACGTACACCACTCTGCAGAACAAGAGGGAGAACATACACCACTCACTCACTCTCACTCACTCTACAGAACAGGGGGAGAACGTACACACTCCACTCACTCACTGCAGAACAAGAGGGAGAACATACACCACTCACTCACACACTGCAGAACAGGGGGAGAACATACACACTCCACTCCCTCACTGTAGAACAAGAGGGAGAACGTACACACTCCACTCCACTCACACACTGCAGAACAGGGCTACAACACACACCACTCACTCACTCACTCTCTACAAAACAGGGCTACAACACACACCACTCACTCACACTCTACAGAACAGGGCTACAACACACACCACTCACTCACTCTCACATTCTACAGAACAGGGAGACAACACACACCACTCACTCTCACTCTACAGAACAGGGAGACAACACACACCACTCACTCACTCACTCTCACTCTACAGAACAGGGCTACAATACACACCACTCACTCTCACTCTACAGAACAGGGCTACAACACACACCACTCACTCACTCACACTCTACAGAACAGGGCTACAACACACACCACTCACTCACACTCTACAGAACAGGGCTACAACACACACCACTCACTCACTCACACTCTACAAAACAGGGCTACAACACACACCACTCACTCTACAGAACAGAGCTACAACACACCACTCGCTCACTCACACTCTACAGAACGGCTACAACACACACCACACACTCACTCACACTCTACAAAACAGGGCTACAACACACACCACACACTCACACTCTACAGAACAGGGCTACAACACACACCACTCACACTCTACAGAACAGGGAGACAACACACACCACTCACTCACTCTCACTCTAAAGAACAGGGCTACAACACCCCACTCACTCACTCTCTACAGAACAGGGCTACAACACACACCACTCACTCACTCAATCACACTACAGAACAGGGCTACAACACACACCACTCACTCACTCACACTCTACAGAACAGGGCTACAACACACACCACTCACTCACTCACTCTCTACAGAACAGGACTACAACACACACCACTCACTCACTCTAAAGAACAGGGCTACAACACACACCACTGACTCACTCAATCACACTACAGAACAGGGCTACAACACACACCACTCACTCAATCACACTCTACAGAACAGGACTACAACACACCACTCACTCACTCTACAGAACAGGGCTACAACACACACCACTCACTCACTCACTTTACAGAACAGGACTACAACACACACCACTCACTCTCTCACTCTACAGAACAGGACTACAACACACCACTCACTCACTCTCTACAGAACAGGACTACAACACACACCACTCACTCACTCTACAGAACAGGACTACAACACACACCACTCACTCTCTCACTCTACAGAACAGGACTACAACACACCACTCACTCACACTCTACAGAACAGGACTACAACATACACTCCACACAGAAAGTCACCCGAGTCCGGAATCGAACTGCGGAGCTTCTTGCTGCGAGGCACCCGCGTTCACACTGCCACCCCCGCTCCTGTAAGGTAAAAGCGCAGCCCTGCAGCTGCTTGCTCACACCACTGCTGGTGGAAGGGGCCCCCAGTGGACAGTGCCTACACTATACCCCACCACACGCAACTGCTATTTGGACAGAGGCTACGGGGAAGGGCAGGGGCACCACGGTGGCTAGGAGATGTTAACTACCTCGCCTGGTATGCAGGAGGTCGTGGGTTCAATCCTGACCCTGCTGCTGCTGTATATTTGGGAGTTTGCGTGTCTCTCCCCGTGGCCACGTGGATTTTTCTGCGGGTCCTCCAGTTTCCCCCTCCGCGTTTAGAATCGACGCCACGCTTTTAGATTGTTTGGCTGCCATACATTTTCCACGTGACGACGATGATGATGAGCCACTTCGCTGGGCCATCGTTTCGTGACAGACCCAGGTCGCTTCTGAAAAATACCTCAGTAGCTCAGTGGGGGCCTTACCTGGCAAAATAACAGGTCCCTGCAGGGCGGGCTGGTAGGAACATTGAATTTTGCGCAATTTTATTACACCCAACAGCACGAGATTTCACTTCGTTAAAGTATTGAAAGGGGACGGACGGACGGACACATGAATCTATTGCAGGCTGGTACACTCAGTTTACAACTTCCTTCCTACCAGTATAAAGGATGTCAGTGACAAGAGAGGGACTCTCAATGACGTCACTCACGTGGTTAAATAAAGGATGACAGTGACAAGAGAGCGACTCTCAATGACGTCACTCACGCGGTTAAATAAAGGATGACAGTGACAAGAGAGTGACTCTCAATGATGTCACTCACGTGGTTAAATAAAGGATGACAGTGACAAGAGAGCGACTCTCAATGACGTCACTCGCGCGGTTAAATAAAGGATGACAGTGACAAGAGAGTGACTCAATGACGTCACTCACGTGGTTAAATAAAGGATGTCAGTGGCAAGAGAGTGACTCTCAATGACGTCACTCACGTGGTTAAATAAAGGATGTCAGTGACAAGAGAGTGACTCTCAATGACGTCACTCACGTGGTTAAATAAAGGATGACAGCGACAAGAGAGTGACTCAATGACGTCACTCACGTGGTTAAATAAAGGATGTCAGTGACAAGAGAGTGACTCAATGACGTCACTCACGTGGTTAAATAAAGGATGTCAGTGGCAAGAGAGTGACTCTCAATGACGTCACTCACGTGGTTAAATAAAGGATGTCAGTGACAAGAGAGTGACTCTCAATGACGTCACTCACGTGGTTAAATAAAGGATGACAGCGACAAGAGAGTGACTCAATGACGTCACTCACGTGGTTAAATAAAGGATGTCAGTGACAAGAGAGTGACTCAATGACGTCACTCACGTGGTTAAATAAAGGATGTCAGTGACAAGAGAGTGACTCTCAATGACGTCACTCACGTGGTTAAATAAAGGATGCCAGTGACAAGAGAGTGACTCTCAATGACGTCACTCACGTGGTTAAATAAAGGATGGCAGTCACAGGAGAGCGACTCTCAATGACGTCACTCACGCGGTTAAATAAAGGATGGCAGTGACAAGAGAGTGACTCTCAATGACGTCACTCACGTGGTTAAATAAAGGATGACAGTGACAAGAGAGCGACTCTCAATGACGTCACTCGCGCGGTTAAATAAAGGATGTCAGTGACAAGAGAGTGACTCTCAATGACGTCACTCACGTGGTTAAATAAAGGATGTCAGTGGCAAGAGAGTGACTCTCAATGACGTCACTCACGTGGTTAAATAAAGGATGTCAGTGACAAGAGAGTGACTCTCAATGACGTCACTCACGTGGTTAAATAAAGGATGACAGCGACAAGAGAGTGACTCAATGACGTCACTCACGTGGTTAAATAAAGGATGACAGTGACAAGAGAGTGACTCTCAATGACGTCACTCACGTGGTTAAATAAAGGATGTCGGTGACAAGAGAGTGACTCAATGACGTCACTCACGTGGTTAAATAAAGGATGCCAGTGACAAGAGAGTGACTCTCAATGACGTCACTCACGTGGTTAAATAAAGGATGGCAGTCACAGGAGAGTGACTCTCAATGACGTCACTCACGTGGTTAAATAAAGGATGACAGTCACACGACATTTCACTTCGTTAAAGTATTGAAAGGGGACGGACGGACGGACACATGAATCTATTGCAGGCTGCTACACTCAGTTTACAACTTCCTACCAGTATAAAGGATGTCAGCGGCAAGAGAGTGACTCTCAATGACGTCACTCACGTGGTTAAATAAAGGATGCCAGTGACAAGAGAGTGACTCTCAATGACGTCACTCACGTGGTTAAATAAAGGATGTCAGCG